ACCTTGGTCTGCCTTGAAAAAAATTGAGTCGACCCCTTGCCTAGGGCCAGCTAGAACGGTCTAACAATACCCCCCTCCCAAAGAATCATCTTGTCCTCAAGTTGAAAGGATGGGTACCGATGCTTCAATCTCTCATATGGCTCCCACGTGGCGTCGTAGTTCGGTACACTCTTCCATTTAATCAAAACCTCCTTAGTTCCTTCTTCTCCCTAGCGAACCCCCATCAACTTTAGTGGTTTTCATACCACCTCCAAGTCCTTTGTCAATGTCACTAGTAACTCAGAATTAGATGCATGATCTCCAATTTCTCTCCTCAGTTGTGACACATGGAACATGGGATGTATAGTCGATGTCGATGGTAATCTTAGCTAATATGCTACCGGTCAAATCCTCTCCAAGACCTCATATAGCCCAAAGTACTTTGGGGCAACCTTCTCATTCCTCCTGTTGGCGACTGCCCTCTGCCTATAAGGTTGTAGCTTTAAGAACACCCTCTCCCCTACCTCAAACTGAATGTCCTTATACCCATCCGCCTATTTATTCATAATCTACTGAACCCACAATAGACACATCTTCAATTTTTCATACCTCAAAATATTGCACTATATTCATTCTCCCAAAATCAATACAATAGTCAGGAGATCAATACAATTACTATTCTATAAAAAACTCCTAACTAAAAAAGAATAAGGAAAAATATAAACAAACTCAAACGAAAACATGAGGATCTCTGTCAAACTCACTACAACTGACCTTGACTCCTTTCTTAACCTGAAATCATAAAAATTCACATAATAAGCATTAAAGTCCAACAAATAACCAAAATTTCATCACTGCTTTTAATGCAAGGTAAAATAACTAATATATATGTTTAGTTCTAGTCAATATCAATCATCACTTAATGACTCCTAAAAAAATTATTTGGTTGGATAAAATTTGAGTTATTACACCCATTTTGCACGGCTAACACCCGCTTGCGCCCTATTCCTGCACACATTCATGCGCGCTCTACTCTGGACGAACACCTGCAATCCCAGTGCCGCACTTGACAGACACGCCACGACCGCTTCAACTAAACCCTGCTTCTGACCAGTCTTCTACAAATGTGACCTCCGCTCCAACCTGAACTCCGTTGTCCCAGCCCTGCTTGACCAGGTAGCTCAACCCGCTTCTACCCGACCACTCGTGCAACACGACCATTTGGTTGGCTATCGCGCCCTTACACCTTGTGCTTGTACTGCTTGCACCTACTCCAAGGCACACCCGCCTACACGACTCGACCTTCCCTGACAGTGTAAGAAACCGCGCAGCCTCCGGCCCATTCTTGATTACAAGAACATCTTCCTCCCCCATAATCGCCTCCACTAGTCTTTGATACCAATTATTGGAATTCTTGAAGGAAGAATGCTCTTCTTGAATGTAGAAGCAGTTGGAGAAAAGAGAACTAGAATCTTATTACTTGGCTTAACTTGTAAAGAATACAATGCCACCCCTATTTAAACTAAAACAAACTAAAGGGGAAAAATAGTAAAACCAAAACTAACATTTAAAACTGGACCAAATATTAACATAACTTAATCCCAAATTCAATTAAAATTTTATTAAAGTGCCAATTGTTCAGTTTTATAAGTGCCTGAGACCCTTATTTATAATAGGAAAGTCAAATAAAAAATTCCCTTAAACAACCACAAAGAAAATCCCCTAATACCTAATTAGGAATAACATTAAAAAACATAGAAATCTCACTGGAGACTAAGTCATGGGAACTTCCAAAGTTGGAGAACAGGAGGAAGCACTAGAGAATGCAAAAAAAATTTGCAAAGACGGTTGAATAGAAAACAAGTCGCGGGTAAATGGTGAAGCATGTGAACTATGTTAAAGGCGTTCAAGAACGCAAGAAGCACTCCTATGATCATGGGACTTTCACAAACAAATTATGTTATTTCCTCCAAATTTTCCCTACAAATTACTTCTACTATTTATATTACATACGAAAGATCGAGGTTTCCCAAGACATAACCTTTGTTGGTTAAGTGTGTCTCAGATGTAATGTTTGAAAACAGTTAAGGATATTGTTGTACTTTGGATTGGTTGTAGAAATTCAAGTTTATGCATGGAGAATATAGATAGAGATAAGAAATTAATCGGATCAATATTCCATGATTATGTTGTCATAGATCTACTTTGAGCATCTAGTCTACTAATGATTGAGGTCAAGAGACCATGCCATCTAGAGAGTCTAATTACCAATCATGAGTGGTCTCTTTTTAGATATGTCTAGCAAATTATGATGATGATATGCTTAAGAACACTCAATTCCTTAAGACGAGACTCAAAGTAAAAAAGTTAAAGTCAAATTAGTGACAACCTAAAGGCTCAAGAGGGGGTGAATTAGGTACTCATTATTCAAAGGCTAGTATTTTTTTTTTTTTTTTGCAAACTCCTTACCAACTAAAATCCAAACAAAAAGGGAGTGAAACAAACATTCAGAACTTAACACACAAGTACATCTAAGTATAAAATTGTTGGTGGATAAAATGTTTAAAAGACATGCAATATTTATATAAAAATGTTCAAACTATATGCATGATGATAAAGATCTTAAACTCAATAATACTAGCACAAAAACTTGTATTCAAACTGTTTCGTCGGTAGCATGTTGAACTCACTTAATCAATATTTGCTCTGGATAAAGCGTGCAGCTATGGCTTTTAGGAAACAACTTTCTTTTCTGGTTTCTTCTAGTAAATCCAAATTGTCAAGTGTATTTTATTTACAATATAAATGGTTTTCTTTTCTATTTTCATTGATTTACTTGATTTTGGTTTAATACGTCTCTCAAATTTTTATATTCGCATTTGTGGCTTTAGTAATATCAAATATCAATGTTATATAAGAGACGCAATGTACAAGTTTATAAAAGCGATAAGCTCCATCTGATAAAATGGCACTTCCCTTCAATTGTTAAAATTGAAAAACAAACACTTCAGCTTCATTTCGCTTATTTTATCTTGAAAACAATAAAGAAACTACCACTTACGCCCTGAAGCTTGCATCAAACATGTTGCGTTTCGCTGGTACTCCAATGCTTATCTTCTTTGCCACCATCTCCGTTTACTGCAAGGAAACCCATTCTCATTTAGAATCAGAAAAAGCAAAATTCATGATACTCGTAGATTTCCCATAATAAAAAAACACTTGAAACTGTAAAACCCGCAAAGATGAAGAACCATAAATTTCAAGCGCATTCACCTAAGGCCTGGAGAGACCAATGGAGCAACGGAAAACCCTATTAAGAATCAATACCTAACTGTCTATTAAGAATCAATACCTAACTGTAACTAGTATCGAGGGGCATCGTTTCCACGCCGCGTTAAATTGAGACTCCTTCATTTGTGGACTTTGGAAACCTAATTGCTTTGAAAAATCAAGAGATAGATGGAAGATTTGACGGAAGAATGGGACCAACGTTCTGAAGAAGTAGTAATCTATCCCGAATACATCGGCACCTGTCGCGGCAGCACCGTCGGAGTGGAAAATGCTTTACACGTCCTTTCAAGCCCGGTACAAGAAGCTTGTGGGTGACGCACCCGCATTTCATCGTATGAAATTATTTATATATGTTATGCTTGAAATGTGCGGTATAAGTGCATAACTAAATCTCCTCTATTTCACTATTTGCATGAGGAAAAGTATAAAAGAAATAAAATTTAAAAAAGGATAAATTTGGTCAAACGAAACAGCTCATTTTTCATTCTAAATATGTTACTTCGTTTGGCACATTCGCCTAGGGGTGCAAACCAATCAAATCAAGTTTGAGCCACGGGTGTTCGAATCAAACTCAACTGTCAAATACCGAGCTCAGGCTCGAGCTCTAACTCGAGTCAAGCTGAAAATATGAGTTTGACTCGTCTCACATTGAGCAGCTCGTCGAGCATCGTCCCAAACAAGTTAGTAGTCGTGACCTCCGTTGTCCTCAGCTCCATCGTTGCCATCCTCGCCTCTGTCGTCAACATCACGTCCTTCATTATCAAATAATTAGATTTTTTTGCAAAAAGAATCACATTCAACTAGGGGTGCAAACCAATCAAGTCAAGCTCGAGCCACGGGGTATTCGAGTCAAACTCAACTGTCAAATACTGAGCTCGAGTCAAGCTCAAAAGATAAGTTCGACTCGTCTCACATCAAGATAAGTTCGACTCGTCTCACATCGAGCGACTCGTCGAGCGCCGTCCCAAACAAGTTAGTAGTCGCGACCTCCATCGTCCTGAGCTCCATCATGGCCTCTGTTGTCGTTGTCAAATAATTAAATTTTTTGCAAAAAGAATCCCATCATTATTCTAAATGCGTTATTTTATTTGATGAATTGTTCTTTTCTAATTTTTTAATAAACATGCTCCTCTAACTAATTTTGACAATAAATTAGCACCTGTATAAAATAAATCTGCTAAAATTTATTATTTATGTACATGTATTTTAAATTTTTTAATAATTCAAAAGCATAAGATATGATTTTTTTCTCTCATGTAACTTTTAAATTTCCACCCGTCACCCACATTTATCAATTGACTATTGTCTAGTCCTATCAATAAATGAGTTCAATGATGGACTCATTAGTCGGAGAAATTATTATGTGAGAACATTAGATTGTTCGGAGGTGAATCAGAACACATCATATCACGCGGTACAAAATTGCGGAATATACAGTAAAAAAATGACATGACGTGTTTTAATTCGCCTTCAAACAACATCTGTATCTACACAAAATAATATTATCATTAGCAGACGAGAGAGAAGCTAACCTCGTCAGTACGCATATTTCCATAAAGCACTTGTCTCCCTTTTAACGCTTTAGGCTAACCAAGAATCAAAATCACCATCACCTTTATAATAGTAATAATTTACTTGAACTCTTTTTTTGAAATAACATACTTATTGATCATTGATGAAAATACCATTATATATATTCAATAAATATATTTTCAGGAAAAAAAATTATCAAAAGTAACTTGGGTCCTCTAAGAAAATATGGGACTAAACCCCCAACTTTAAAAATATCATGAATAATTCTTAACAGTAATAACATAAATCCAAAATAACTTGCAAATAAATAATTCCTTAAAAAAAAAACCATAGTTTATATTTATTTTTTTTTTTTTTTTTTTAGAATTAAGAGCCAATGCTCGGACACACACAATATATATGCATGACTCAAATCCTAGACCCCTTAATTGGAACTTTTATTTGGTCCGGTCACAGGACGTAGCTCTACATTCAGCCGCCAGTAGAATCACGCCATACGTTCTCACTATTTACCGCGCGCCCCGACAACCCGATCCGGAACGGACCCAGGATGGCTCGATATTTCTCGATTTTGCTAGGTATTGGTCGATTTTGCTCGGCAATAACCAACACCGAGCAAATACCGAGCACCAAGAAATACCAAGCAATATCGAGTTGTACCAAGTTTTCTAGAAAAACTCGGTACAACTCGGTATTGCTCGGTATTGGTCTTCACATAGCGATATTTCTCGTTATTGCCAAGCAATATCTAGTAATACCGAGCAATACCGAGCAAATACCGAGTAATACCTCGCAATACGTGAATATAGCATTCTCGGGTTCCTGTCCGGGTCAAGTCGTCGGGCCGCGCGGTAAAGAGTAAGAGCACGTGGCGACATGTTATTGGCGGCCGAACGTAGCTCTACGTCCGGTCTAATAATTATTCCCTTAATTGACAACCAAAGCACCCAATAAAAAAAAAAAAGAAAGTTATATTGTATTATTTGTTTTCAAATATATTTTTCTAAAAATTACTTCAAAGATAAAATTTGAATAACAATAAAAAAACACTATCATGGATTACTTCACCTATCACAATAATAGTTAAAAAGTTGTCGCAAATAAAGTTTTAGATATATAATGTTACATAATAAATCATGAATATATTCAATGACATAAAGTTATTATAAATCTCTCAAAACCAGTAAAAAAAGCAATATTCATTCATAGCTTTTACAATCTCAATATTATATATATTAAATAAATAGCATATATCAACATCTTATAAAAACTGAAAAAAAAAAAATCCTTAATTTCGCAGTATAAACACCGACGCTAAAGTCTTTCGGTAGCTTGGTAAGGGTCCTTTACTCTCCACCAACCTGATATGCATTAGGTACGGTCCATATAATACTCAGTTTTGATTGGGTCCAAATGTTTGATTTTTTCACGTAAGAAAATCGGTTGAGTGTGTCGATGCATGCACGAATCAATGAGAATTAATGGGGAAGTACAATAACAATAACTTATAAAAAATTTGCGCAAACTATATAAAATGCATATATTGGTTGTATTATCAAGATCTTATTATCAGATGTAAATTAGGATATGTTTGTGAGAGCAATAGCATTTCTTAAAAATAGGTGTAAAGCTATTATCGTGAAGATAACTTTTTGGAAAGTTGATGTACGGATATTATTATTGCGTCCTGAAATATTTGATTTGTTCGAAAAATATAGAGTTTAATATTATAACATTGTGTAAAAGTCTAGCACACATATAGATGAGAGAAAGAAATGTATAAAAGTCATAAGACACCAAATATTTTACGTGTAAAATTCTAAAAAGCAAGAAAAAATCACGGGATTTGACCCAATTAAAATTATTATACTGATATTTTTAGTCGATTACAAATGATGCCCTTCCTCGAGAGGAGACATTGTCAAAATATATATCATCACATAGAATACATTATACGATGGACATTAGAAGAATCCAGTGATATAAGAGTTGTTTTTAAAAGAATGTTGGCTTGTTTGTTTGGTCAATTGTCGGGCGATGGAGGTTGAAGGAACCATAGTCGAGTGATGGAGGTCAAAGGGATCACAGCCGGGCTACCGAGGTTTGAGGGACTATAGTCGGCGAGTGATGATGGTCGGAGGGACCACAGTCGGTATACTATAATGGTTGGAGGGACCATATTCGGTAGTTGGCAGGGTCGAACTTAGTCATCCGACGATGGAGGTTGAAGGGATCGTAGTCGATCGGCCGACGACGGAAGTCCAAGGGACCGTAGTTAGCCGACAATGGTGGTTGCAAGAACTTAGTCGGCGAACGCTATGGTCGGAGGAATCGTAGTCAGCAAGCGATGATGTTCGTAGGGACTGTAGTCGGTATACGACTATAGTCACAAGGATTGTAGTCGACGTGCGGCCATGATCAGAGGGACCGTAGTCGGCAGGCGATGTAGGTTGGATAAAGGCTTGGTGATGACTGTCAAACGGAGGTTCAACCACGATGTTTTGGTAGATGTTCAGCAGCGGCGGCCTAGTGGCGATGGTTTGTTGGTGGTGGTGGTGTTGGGATGGAGCTCAAAGATGCTTCAAGCCTCATAGCTTCCTTGAGTCTCTATCCCAAGATTTGTGACTCTAAAAGTTCAATATCCCTTTTATGTAGAAAGTGGTGGTATATTTATAGGTTTTGAGAGAGACATGTTTCGTAGTATATGGAAAAAATCAAGAGCAATTTTTTAATGCTCTATCGGATGGCCCATATCAATTCCTTCAATCATAGATCGTTGGATTTTTCTCATTGAGCCATTCGATTTGACTATAAATCATTGGATCATCTAGTTAATGTTTTGAAGCTTCAAATATGCTTAAGTCATTTGATTTGGGCACATTTGGGCTCGAATTGGACATATTTTATTGTCGTTGGATTCATGTCATTGAGACGCTCAATTTGACTATAGATTTGTTAAAACTAGAGTTTGAATGGTCTCAAAATGGATTTCAAAAGTTTTCAAATCATACATGCATCAAGATTGGTGCTATATGAAAGCAATTTTTTGTGACCTATCAATTATAAATATTTATATTTTTTAAAAGTCAAACACCTGCTTTCTTATAAGTAGTACACAAATTTATAAAAATAGTAATTGTGATATGAAACATAAAATAGTTAAAAAGCTATCCCAAATAAACTCTTAAACTTTCTTTAGGTTAGATTTTTTCCATTATTTTTTTATTTCTAAAAAAAAAATACTAAAAAAATATTTTAAAAAATACTAAAAGAATTGCCCTAACTAAAGCCTCACGCTATAAGGCTAACTAGTAAAGTATATTTAAAGCTGTCATCATTTGAGGTTCGGTTGTTTCCTTCGGTCTTTTTCTTCAACTGAATATAAAATCAATTTTTTAATAATATTTAAAATAATAAGTCATTTTCATTTTTTTTTTCTTATTTTAAAATAATGTTAACACGAAAGATTGTTCAATCATAATAGTTGTCTTCATTTGATAGCTCCTAATACCATTCTAAATCCTAATAATTACCCATTTAGAGAAATAATTTCTATCTTATTGCCTAACATAATTGAGAAAAAGTTATAATATCTAATTTGGTCCGCAAAATATTAAAAAATACAGCTCTTTTTTTTTTAATCGAGAATTTTGACTAACAACCAAAAAATATTGAGTTCAAATCTTATATATATATATATATATATATTATAGCTTAATTTATTTAAATGTAAAAAAAAAAAGAGATCTGTTTGCTAGAAGAAACAGCGATATAATTTATTAGGAAAAATCATTTACAAAGCTAG